TTTTAGTCACATCTGAGTCAGCCAATAATGGCATGATAGCGCTGTCAGATGCCGAGATCTCTGGGCAGTTCGAAAACCACTTTGCCAATTCGAAACCTGCCTCTTGCAAAACCTGAGAAACTTCATCACGAAGGCTTTGCAGGTTCTCAACGCATCCGGCGCCTGTCAACAAATCGTCAACATAAAAATCATTCTGAATGACCTTTGCGGCATTTGGATACTTAGCTTGCACCATCTCTCCAAGCCGCATTAAACACCGGATTGCCATGAAGGGCGCTGGCGATGTTCCGTATGTCACGGTATTTAATCTAAAGATCTTCAGAGACTCAGAAGGATCTCGTCTCCACACTATGAGCTGATAATTTCGGTCAGCTTCGTCCACCATCACTTGGCGATACATCTTTTTAATGTCCGCTGCAAGGGCGAACCTGTGCATTCTGAACCGAAGTAGCGTCGAATACAGCTTCTCTTGAATAGTGGGGCCTACCATCAAGATATCATTCAACGCAACCTGCGTCGATGTGCGGCTTGAGGCATCGAACACCACTCTTAACTTGTTGAGGTGCTTTGAGGCCGCAGCACGCATTGGTGCGGAATGAAGTAGTGTGAACCATCTGGAATTCTATTATCAGTAGAACCCATATGGCCCATTGACGCATATTCTTCCATGAAGTCCAGATACATTTTTTTAAATGAAGGATCTTTGGACAGTCTCCTTTCCAGCGACAAAAATCTACGTTTCGCAACTTCATACGAAGAACCAAGACAACTCGGGTCAGATTTGAACGGCAGACGAACCGAAAATCTCCCGGACGACAGTCTTTGATTATTCTTCTCAAAGTGTTGTTCACAAAGTTGCTGCTCAGGAGTATGGACTTTAGCCTTAGGCGGCAAGTCCTCCACAGACCAAAATTTCTGCAGGGTTGTGTCGATTGACTCCAACGCTTCTTCCTGGCAGCTGAGATGTACCGAATTTTCTGCCTTAATCTTGGTTTCCGAGGTACCGCTCCCTGACACTGTCCAGCCGAGACCAGTTTTTTGTAAGATGGGAAGTTCAGGCCCCTGCTTTATCTGGCCGACTGACAGAATTTCAAAAATGAATCTGCGCCGATAAGCATGTCTATTTTTTGGGGCTTGAAGAAGAATGGATCTGCCAATTTAATATTTTCAGGCACCCTCCAACCGCTGGTGTTCACCGCTTGATCCGGATGATAACCAGAAATATTCTTTAAGATATAAAAATCGGACGACAACTAGCTGCACCCTACTCGCGACTTCACTATTGTATGTATTTTCTTTGTTGCTTGGGCATTAGTTTGACCAATGCCCCGCAAGCTCATACACACATCCTCCCTTTTAATTTGTAGAGCTCGTCGGTCACAAAATTTATTTGTGAATCAGAGTCAAGCAACGCTCGAGCCACAACAAATTCGCCACTTTTCGATAATACGCTCACGATAGCTGTGGCAAGAATGACTCTATCCGAAGCAGTCGCATGCAAAACATGTGAAGTGGATGGAGTCTCTTGCATGAGCGTGGGCTGAGGAGGAGGCGGCAACGCGAGATTTGTCTTAGGCGAGTATATGTGCAGCAAAGTGTGGTGTGAAGATTTGCACACCCTGCACCTGTTCGATTTGCATTTTTTGACCGTGTGACCCTTGCGAAGGCAGTTAATGCATAAGGGCACTTTCTTGGCAAAATCGAACCTCTGCTGCACTGTTAGAGCTGCGAAAGAAGCGCAGTTTCCTACTTGATGCTCTGCTTGCAATAGTCCAGCGAACAAAAACGAAAAGCGCGAAAGCGAGATCAAAAACACTGGCAGCGCTGCGTGGGTGAGAGTGCGTGTGTGTGTATGTCTGTATTTAGCTGGCGGCTTACTCTTTGGTAAATGCCGACTAGCGGAAAATGATGCACTGACCGATATATAAGGGCAACGAATATATAAGCGGGATGCTGGTGAAGCGCGGGAAATGGCGCTAAGGCTTGGGAAAATTGCGGAAAAACGCGGCAAATTTGGGAATGAAAAATGCGCGCACAAGTTTTTTCCGCGATTTTCTTTGCACAATAGTTCACTGGATGCACTATTTAAATCACTTTATTTTCGGCCTTAATTTTTAACCCCAAATTGGTGCTCACTACGACGAAATTGGTGGAATTAATTGCACTTATTGGGTCAACAACGAATTTAAATTTAAAGGTCCAAAGCGATTCACTTTAATTCAACATAATATAAAATATAAGGGTATATCAATATGTATGCGAATGTATAATATTCGAATAAAATTGTTAGTGCATGCGAAAATCAAATTTTTTGGTTAGAATGCTCACTATCTACCGATTTTACACGAATGCAAAAAGTTGAAAGATTGGCCGAACACAATTTTAACAAGACGCCACAGATTAACTTTCAACTTTTTACACTCTATACCTGGCTGGCCGATTCGGTCTGATCAGCGAATTCCCTTTTCGGATCCATTTGCCTCGACGTAGGGTGTGCAAATTGCGTAATCAGTTCCAGCGGCGACGACGAAAAGGCTTTTGGCAGCAATCAAACAAATCCAGCGGCAACAAAAGGGCTTCTTGGCAGCAACAACAAATCTTCTTCAGGGGCAAGGCTTGGCAACAATAAAAAATGTTCTTGAGCGGCAGCGACGAAAAGGCTTCTTAAGCAGCAACAAGTCCAACGACGAAAAATGAATATTTATTGGCACTTTTGCTCATATATGTTAAGCCGACGCGGAGAATTGTTTTTGGTTTTAAATTGTTGTTACACACCAAAAAAAAAAAAAAATGCGAAAAAAGAATACCAACTGCAAATCACGTCGGGGTCACCATGAAAAAACAATAAGCGTTTTTATTGCCGAACAACAAAAACTTTTGCGATTGCAGTGGTTAATTCTTTCAGAGGGGTTTTATTTAAGTCGAAAATACGAAAACGAAATCGAAACGAGAGTTACGCAGTGCGTACGATAGGGAGTTCAAATTTCAACTAACTTTAATTTCATAAAATTCTCTTACATGCTAACCTAAAGTACTGAGCGGGAGATCGGCGGCCGAATTCGCCTGAGCGAGAAAGCTTTATTTATGAAAAACAAGCGTTTTTATTGCCGAAAAACGAAAACTTGCGATTGCAGTGGTTATTTCCTATTTTGCGAGGTTTATTAAGTCGAAAACGAAAACGAGAGTTACGGCGATGCGTACGACAGGGAGTTCAAATTTCAACTAACTTTAATTTCATAAAATTCTCTTACATGCTAAGCTAAAGTACTGAGCGGGAGATCGGCGGCCGAATTCGCCTGAGCGAGAAAGCTTTATTAAACCCCGATCCCCGCTTTACATTGACGTTACAGAGAGAAATACCCAAACGTTAAATTTTAAGATTTTTTGCAGCTACAGTAGAATCCGCTTATAGCGACTTTCAAGGGACCGACGAGTTTTCGTCGTTATACCCGGAAGACGCACTAAGCAAAAGGATATAAGTGTATAAGTCTGTCTGGGGACCAATCAAAACATCGAGATTTCGTCGCAATACCCGGCGGACACTATAAGCGGAGTCGTTATAACAGGATTCTACTGTATTTTCAAGTTCATATAATACATTACACTGTGCGACAAAATTTAACAAAATCTTTGTTTAAGTTACTTTTTTGATTGTTTTCGGTTTCAGTAATACTTTTATTTTTTTAAAAATGAATTTTTTTCCAGATTTTTTTTTGGCTTTTTCAGAGGTATCCTCGCGTAACAAGTTCTATACGTAGTCGCCCAGAGTATAGAGCTGGGAGAAAAATTTTTAAAGCATTGTGATAAAAGCCTAACGGTATATTTACGTAATACATTTTAATTATTAGATATTGAACTTGCATTATAATAAGCGTTATAAGCGTTCTAACGGTGAAAAAATATTTTCCCAATATGTGATTATAACGCTGTGAAATATGCAAAAACGCGCGTTTTTGGGACATTTGAGTGTGCGTAAAAGCTGATTGGCTATTGATATTAACAAATCCACAAACTTATATTCTTATTTTGATTAGTAGAAGTGAAAAATAAGAAAAAATCAACTTAAACATTTTTTTTGTCGCACAGTGTTATTGTTATTTATAAGTAATATTTAAGTAAATTGTACAGATTTCATGAATTTTTTAATAAAAATACTAATAATATGATTTTGTCTTTTAATAATTTTTTTTTGCTTTAAAATAATAAAATGGCATATAACTGAAAATACAATTTCATTTTCGCAAACTGTGAGAAATTACGCAAATTTGTATACCTCTGGTGATAGGGTACTTCAAAGAATAAATTTTTTCATATACGGACGGGACAACGTCAGTTAGAACAGACGTATTTCGATTCAGATCGTGACGCTGATCAAGAATATATATACTTTATAGGGAATGAGGTGTCACCTTCACTGTGTTGCAAACTTCTGACTGAAATTATAACACCCTTTGATCTGCAAGGGTATAAAAAAAATTTCAAAGCGATACAAAAATAAAAAGCAAAGGGCAAAAAAATATGAGTTTTTCATTTTTAATGCCTAGTTATGTGTTCAAAATATTAGTATTTAAATAGTGTGTTATAGTCCGAACAAAGTACTCTCAAAAGCTCATAAAAATTAAAATTAGATTTACAATGATTTAAAACAAAAGGAACATCATTTCTAGTTAATCTACTTGGCACCGAGAAATTAATACTACTTTAGTAAGAACTGTCAATTAATACAACATAAAGCATCGTTCTGCGGTTAGAAAGGGAGGGCCAGTTGATAAGGAGCTTTCTTCTATTGGAACAAGAATGTAGGAATTGATTCGTATTCCTTTTTAGTAAGGCAAAAAGGAAAAAAATTTTAGACAAATTCTGTTCGATCAGCGTGCACTCCTCATCTTGGACTCCAAACAGAAGGCCCATACTCAAGGATTGGCCGGACCAAAGATAAAAATAAATTCTTGGTAACGTAAGGATCATCTAATTAGTTTAGCTTTATTTATAAACTTACTACATTTTTAGTTTTTTAAGTTAAAACTTGTATTAAACTAATTAAATTTCTTATTAAAAAACCCAATGACTCAATTTCAAACGTTTTTCTGCGAACCAACAAGTAACCATTGATAAAACTTAAAATGTCAGTCAGAATCATTATTAGCCTTTTTCCTTTTTTTAGCCGCTTGTGTCTTAATTTTTGACCAATCTTCCTAAAAAAATGAACATTTTTTAATAGAAAAAATAAAATGAAAATTTTACCAACCTCACTAGAATTTTCATCTGAGGAGAATATAGTTTTGGAAATTTCCGAGTTTTTTTTGTTTGATGAGTTATGAATAAGGGTTTCCTTTTTACTGACTGGTTGCTTACGCCCACGGCCACTTCCTCCGCGTCGGCCAACAGCTGTAGTATCGTCTTCTGCGGCCAGTGCAAAAAGATCGCTGAACTGCTTCTGCATATACAATTCAAGCCTCAAATTAAAAGAAACTTTTATCAAATATTTACCTACCTTCGTGCTTTCGTTACTATGAGAGTAAGCTGTTTGCAATGCGCGCTGCATCATATCATGAACATAAAGCCCTGTACCGGTTCCATGTCTACAACTTCTTCTATAATGCTCTAGATGGTTTAAAATCTATTAAATAAACATCAATCCGTTTATAACGTTTTGCTTGAATTAATAAAACAAAACAAAAACACACTTGATCAGCAGAGGGAGTTGTACTGGCAATGGGATTCCCCTTAGAAGGACGTTTTCGTTTGTTAGGAGATGAACCCGGATATTTTGATGTCAGCAGAGACGCAATGATTTCAGACAGCTTTTCTTCGTACCGTTGGCACCAAAATCTGTAAGTTTTTTAAAATAGTTTTGGTTTGGTTTTAAAAATTCTTTTTTTTGCATTTTTTTTTATTGTTTTTTCCAAAAGCCAATGTGTCGAGCACATTGTGTAAAAATGTTGAGTCAATTAGAGCCAAACTAACGGAGTGAGAGCGTTTTAAACGACCGAATTTTGACGTATACAAATACTTAAACTCGATTTTCTCGAAAAAAAATGCCATCTCACCACCATCGAATGTTTTTTATTGACACAGCTCTAGAATTTAATATTCTCTTAAAAAACTTTTGTTGAGGTTTTAGAAATTTTATCAAGTCTTTTGATGACAGCTCCTCGACAGAAGTTATAACCATTCCTATTCTTCAGGGGATTTATATTTTTTTTTCTCGGCAGCAGGAAAAACACTGTCTCCAATTCTCAGTAAAGTTTGTGCAAAAATTCCATGTTTTTGGTAAAAGACAATTTTTTTAAAGAAGGCTTAATAAAGGATGGTTTCAAACAGTACTTTATTTTATCTGTCGTGTTTCTCGTGGAACAATAGGAAGTGCTTGTCGAATATCACAAGAAAATAAAAACGGGATTTAATTGGCGATTAGCTGCTTCCTTTAGTAAGCCCAATTCCAAAGGCTTACCTCAATAACAATGTCTGTCTTTTCCAATCTGTATGGGCTGCGTTTTACCGGCTAAATGACTATTTTGAACTTTTTTGTACCATAAACATTGTTTTTAAGTCCAGCAGGTAGAGCTGGACTACGAGTCGGAAGGCCGGGGTTCGAATCCCAGGCTCCCCGAGACAAAGAAATGGTCTCTTTTTCCGAAGCTCCATTATTCCTATGCTCTACCGCTCACTTAACATTAGTAACAAATTTCGGCTCCCCGGATCCGCACACCCCCCGTCCACTATGGACACAACAATAGAACTTTCGTGTTTACTACTTAGTATACACACTCAAACAACATCAAGATCACTAGTAGAAAGCACGTTTCTATATTCATTCTCGCCGCCGCAAGATGGCACTTCAGTAGAAAAAGCTCCCCAGGCCCCACGGGTCTATTCTTCGCATCCCCCCGCCAGATGGCGCTGTGATGCAAACTTGCGCCAAATCGGCAGCTCAAAGTGTGTAACCCCCCACGCCTCTCCTAGAAGGCGATAGGTGGCAGCCCCACCACTAGGATAGGTCGCTTCTGGCTAATCACCAGCTCGACTGAAATCAATCCGATTACAAAATCCAACACAAGATTACCAAACACAAACGGACCCCCTTCGATGACGACTATAGGCGTATCTAAAAGGACAAGAATAGGACAATGGAACGTTAGAACTCTAAGAGAGCCGTCTAGATTAGCACAATTTGAAGGAGAAATGGACAGACTTCAGGTCACAATAGCGGGGATCAGTGAGATGAGATGGAGCGGTAGTGGAGTAACAACATCAGCAAATGGTAACCTAATCTTGCACAGCGGTAATAATGAGGGACGCAGATATGGAGTAGGGATATTCGTAGCCAGAAGAATGAAAGAAACGCTACACTCCTGGACACCCATTTCAGACAGACTCATTAAAGCGACGTTTAGATGTAGGGCCAGACCAATAACAATCGTGCAGTGTTACGCCCCAACCGAAGACGCAAACGACGACATCAAAGACGACTTCTATGCCGCGCTTACTTCCACTCTCACTGACAAACCTCGAGGCAACATCACTGTTCTCATGGGCGACTTCAATGCAAAAATAGGACCCAACTTTACCAGAATGAGGTCAGCCACTGGGGGCCACGGTATAGGCACGCGTAATAACAATGGAGATAGACTAATAGAAGTATGCCAAATGTTTTCAGTTAATCATTGGGGATAGTATGTTCCCACACAGAGATATCCACAAATACACATGGACATCTCCGAGTGGAAATACACGTAACCAAATTGACCACATTTGTATAAGCAGAAAATGGAGGAAGGTTCTACTGGTTATAAGGAACAAGAGGGGAGCATCGATAGACAGCGACCACGAGCTGATCATTGGGGAGCTCTCAATCAAGCTGGACCGCAATCGCCCGCGAAATGCTGACGACTCAAGGAACCACCGCCCGTCCCCCCTCAACATACACCTACTTGGCGAAACGGACATCAGCGCCAGACTTGCATCAACATTACGCACCCACCTACTACCGCAGCAAGGCCAGACATGGGAACAAATGTGCGATACACTAAGGACCACCGCAGAAGGCATCATTGGCACCCAACAACGAAGAAAAAACAACTGGATCTCTAGCGCAACGTGGGACACGATCAACAAAAGGAACTCACTGAAATTACTGGCTGATCGTGACAGCAATAGACCCGACGAACACTGCGCACTATGCAAAGCTGTCAAGAGAGCAGCCAGAAATGATAAGAGAGCCCTACTGAATAGACTGGCAGATAACGCAGAACGCGCAGCAAATGAAAACAACATGCGATCACTATACCAGACAATTGAACAAACTTCAGGAGGCAATAGAAGGAAGACCCAGCCAGTCAAAGATGCCATCGGATACTTCTCACTAGCGACGACGACCAAATCCACAGGTGGCGCCAACACTTCATGGAAATCAGCAACTCCGACATGCCTAGCAGGAGCGATGACTACAGAAACGTTGCGCCAGCAAATGGGAACCGGAGAATATCATCCGCCCCACCCTCCGTGAGAGAAATCGGAAATGCAATAAAGAAGCTAAAGAACAACAAAGCTGCCGGGATGGACGGCATTCCAGCCGAAATCCTCCAAGAAATATTGCATCCGCACTTCTCGAGTGCATGGGAGAGCGAACACATTCCCGACTCCTGGAAATGCGGAGTCATAGTGAAAATACCCAAGAAAGGAGACCTTAGTGATTGCAACAACTGGAGAGGGATCACACTACTAAACACCAGTTACAAAGTCCTAGCCACAATTCTGAATGAACGCCTGACGGAAAAATTCGAGCCCACACTAAGAGATGAACAGGCAGGCTTCAGACCACACAGGAGCTGCGTAGACCAAGCCAACACCCTACGCATCATAACCGAACAAGCTGTGGAATGGAGAGCACCACTGTACCTCCTGTTCATCGATTTCAAGAAGGCGTTCGATTCAATAAATAGAGCAGCAATATGGGGAGCGCTTGCTAGGAAAGAAGTACCGCACAAAGTCATCGCCCTAATAAAGGCGCTATACGATGACGCCAACCTGGCGGTACTGCACAACGGGAAGACAAGTGCACCTTTCCAAACAAACACCGGGGTCAAGCAAGGATGCCCACTATCCCCACTGCTCTTCAACATTGTGGTGGACGAGGTCATGAGAGAAGTGTGCAAACACAAGCGTGGAATAACATGGAGCTTCACCAGACACCTAGAAGACTTGGACTACGCAGACGACATTTGCCTAATCTCTCACAAACTAAGCGATACTCAATCCAAAGTTGATGACCTCGTGAACCTAGCCAGCCGTGTGGGTCTACAAATTAACACGGCGAAGACAAAAGCGATGCGCCTCAATCACGCCAGCCAAGAAAATATCATCGTAGATGGAAACCCAATAGAATACGTCGAGAGTTTCCCATACCTTGGCACCGTAATCTCCAGCAACGGTGGCGTGACAGAAGATGTGACGAGCAGGCTAGCCAAAGCCAGGTCTGCCTTCGGGAGACTCTACCGCATATAGAGAAGCCGCCAAATAAGAAGAAAAACAAAGATACGGATCTTCAACTCATGCGTAAAATCCGTCCTACTATACGGAACAAAGACAATAATCCAGCAATTGCAGGCTTTCACCAACAAGTGTCTCAGACATAGACCTCTGGAAAATGAAGGGTGAAACAGCAATAACACTCCAAATCAGGAAGAAAAAATGGAGATGGATAGGCCACGCACTGCGAAAGGACCAGGATAGCATAGTTAGAATGGCGCTAGAGTGGAACCCACAGGGAAGCAGGCGTGTAGGCAGGCCTAAAGCAACATGGAGACGAACCGCCCTTCAAGAGTTGTCCCAATACAGCACCACATGGGACACAGCGAAACAGACAGCTCGAAATAGAGTAAGATGGAGGAATCTAGTCGAGGCCCTATGCTCCCAGGAGGAGTTATAAAGGAAAAAAAAAAAATGTATAGACTACTCTTAAACCACTCCAAGGGTTTTAGTCACATCTGAGTCAGCCAATAATGGCATGATAGCGCTGTCAGATGCCGAGATCTCTGGGCAGTTCGAAAACCACTTTGCCAATTCGAAACCTGCCTCTTGCAAAACCTGAGAAACTTCATCACGAAGGCTTTGCAGGTTCTCAACGCATCCGGTGCCTGTCAACAAATCGTCAACATAAAAATCATTCTGAATGACCTTTGCGGCATTTGGATACTTAGCTTGCACCATCTCTCCAAGCCGCATTAAACACCGGATTGCCATGAAGGGTGCTGGCGATGTTCCGTATGTCATGGTATTTAATCTAAAGATCTTCAGAGACTCAGAAGGATCTCGTCTCCACACTATGAGCTGATAATTTCGGTCAGCTTCGTCCACCATCACTTGGCGATACATCTTTTTAATGTCCGCTGCAAGGGCGAACCTGTGCATTCTGAACCGAAGTAGCGTCGAATACAGCTTCTCTTGAATAGTGGGGCCTACCATCAAGATATCATTCAACGCAACCTGCGTCGATGTGCGGCTTGAGGCATCGAACACCACTCTTAACTTTTTGAGGTGCTTTGAGGCCGCAGCACGCATTGGTGCGGAATGAAGTAGTGTGAACCATCTGGAATTCTATTATCAGTAGAACCCATATAGCCCATTGACGCATATTCTTCCATGAAGTCCAGATACATTTTTTTAAATGAAGGATCTTTGGACAGTCTCCTTTCCAGCGACAAAAATCTACGTTTCGCAACTTCATACGAAGAACCAAGAGAACTCGGGTCAGATTTGAACGGCAGACGAACCGAAAATCTCCCGGACGACAGTCTTTGATTATTCTTCTCAAAGTGTTGTTCACAAAGTTGCTGCTCAGGAGTATGGACTTTAGCCTTAGGCGGCAAGTCCTCCACAGACCAAAATTTCTGCAGGGTTGTGTCGATTGACTCCAACGCTTCTTCCTGGCAGCTGAGATGTACCGAATTTTCTGCCTTAATCTTGGTTTCCGAGGTACATCTCCCTGACACTATCCAGCCGAGAACAGTTTTTTGTAAGATGGGAAGTTCAGGCCCCTGCTTTATCTGGCCGACTGACAGAATTTCAAAAATGAATCTGCGCCGATAAGCATGTCTATTTTTTGGGGCTTGAAGAAGAATGGATCTGCCAATTTAATATTTTCAGGCACCCTCCAACCGCTGGTGTTCACCGCTTGATCCGGATGATAACCAGAAATATTCTTTAAGATATAAAAATCGGACGACAACTAGCTGCTCCCTACTCGCGACTTCACTATTGTATGTATTTTCTTTGTTGCTTGGGCATTAGTTTGACCAATGCCCCGCAAGCTCATACACACATCCTCCCTTTTAATTTGTAGTCTCTGAGCGAGCTCGTCGGTCACAAAATTTATTTGTGAATCAGAGTCAAGCAACGCTCGAGCCACAACAAATTCGCCACTTTTCGATAATACGCTCACGATAGCTGTGGCAAGAATGACTCTATCCGAAGCAGTCGCATGCAAAACATGTGAAGTGGATGGAGTCTCTTGCATGAGCGTGGGCTGAGGAGGAGGCGGCAACGCGAGATTTGTCTTAGGCGAGTATATGTGCAGCAAAGTGTGGTGTGAAGATTTGCACACCCTGCACCTGTTCGATTTGCATTTTTTGACCGTGTGACCCTTGCGAAGGCAGTTAATGCATAAGGGCACTTTCTTGGCAAAATCGAACCTCTGCTGCACTGTTAGAGCTGCGAAAGAAGCGCAGTTTCCTACTTGATGCTCTGCTTGCAATAGTCCAGCGAACAAAAACGAAAAGCGCGAAAGCGAGATCAAAAACACTGGCAGCGCTGCGTGGGTGAGAGTGCGTGTGTGTGTATGTCTGTATTTAGCTGGCGGCTTACTCTTTGGTAAATGCCGACTAGCGGAAAATGATGCACTGACCGATATATAAGGGCAACGAATATATAAGCGGGATGCTGGTGAAGCGCGGGAAATGGCGCTAAGGCTTGGGAAAATTGCGGAAAAACGCGGCAAATTTGGGAATGAAAAATGCGCGCACAAGTTTTTTCCGCGATTTTCTTTGCACAATAGTTCACTGGATGCACTATTTAAATCACTTTATTTTCGGCCTTAATTTTTAACCCCAAATTGGTGCTCACTACGACGAAATTGGTGGAATTAATTGCACTTATTGGGTCAACAACGAATTTAAATTTAAAGGTCCAAAGCGATTCACTTTAATTCAACATTTATAGTAATATAAAATATAAGGGTATATCAATATGTATGCGAATGTATAATATTCGAATTAAAATTGTTAGTGCATGCGAAAATCAAATTTTTTGGTTAGAATGCTCACTATCTACCGATTTTACACGAATGCAAAAAGTTGAAAGATTGGCCGAACACAATTTTAACAAGACGCCACAGATTAACTTTCAACTTTTTACACTCTATACCTGGCTGGCCGATTCGGTCTGATCAGCGAATTCCCTTTTCGGATCCATTTGCCTCGACGTAGGGTGTGCAAATTGCGTAATCAGTTCCAGCGGCGACGACGAAAAGGCTTTTGGCAGCAATCAAACAAATCCAGCGGCAACAAAAGGGCTTCTTGGCAGCAACAACAAATCTTCTTCAGAGGCAAGGCTTGGCAACAATAAAAAATGTTCTTGAGCGGCAGCGACGAAAAGGCTTCTTAAGCAGCAACAAGTCCAACGACGAAAAATGAATATTTATTGGCACTTTTGCTCATATATGTTAAGCCGACGCGGAGAATTGTTTTTGGTTTTAAATTGTTGTTACACACCAAAAAAAAAATGCGAAAAAAGAATACCAACTGCAAATCACGTCGGGGTCACCATGAAAAAACAATAAGCGTTTTTATTGCCGAATAACAAAAACTTTTGCGATTGCAGTGGTTAATTCTTTCAGAGGGGTTTTATTTAAGTCGAAAATACGAAAACGAAATCGAAACGAGAGTTACGCAGTGCGTACGATAGGGAGTTCAAATTTCAACTAACTTTAATTTCATAAAATTCTCTTACATGCTAACCTAAAGTACTGAGCGGGAGATCGGCGGCCGAATTCGCCTGAGCGAGAAAGCTTTATTTATGAAAAACAAGCGTTTTTATTGCCGAAAAACGAAAACTTGCGATTGCAGTGGTTATTTCCTATTTTGCGAGGTTTATTAAGTCGAAAACGAAAACGAGAGTTACGGCGATGCGTACGACAGGGAGTTCAAATTTCAACTAACTTTAATTTCATAAAATTCTCTTACATGCTAAGCTAAAGTACTGAGCGGGAGATCGGCGGCCGAATTCGCCTGAGCGAGAAAGCTTTATTAAACCCCGATCCCCGCTTTACATTGACGTTACAGAGAGAAATACCCAAACGTTAAATTTTAAGATTTTTTGCAGCTACAGTAGAATCCGCTTATAGCGACTTTCAAGGGACCGACGAGTTTTCGTCGTTATACCCGGAAGACGCACTAAGCAAAAGGATATAAGTGTATAAGTCTGTCTGGGGACCAATCAAAACATCGAGATTTCGTCGCAATACCCGGCGGACACTATAAGCGGAGTCGTTATAACAGGATTCTACTGTATTTTCAAGTTCATATAATACATTACACTGTGCGACAAAATTTAACAAAATCTTTGTTTAAGTTACTTTTTTGATTGTTTTCGGTTTCAGTAATACTTTTATTTTTTTAAAAGTGAATTTTTTTCCAGATTTTTTTTTGGCTTTTTCAGAGGTATCCTCGCGTAACAAGTTCTATACGTAGTCGCCCAGAGTATAGAGCTGGGAGAAAAAATTTTTAAAGCATTGTGATAAAAGCCTAACGGTATATTTACGTAATACATTTTAATTATTAGATATTGAACTTGCATTATAATAAGCGTTATAAGCGTTCTAACGGTGAAAAAATATTTTCCCAATATGTGATTATAACGCTGTGAAATATGCAAAAACGCGCGTTTTTGGGACATTTGAGTGTGCGTAAAAGCTGATTGGCTATTGATATTAACAAATCCACAAACTTATATTCTTATTTTGATTAGTAGAAGTGAAAAATAAGAAAAAATCAACTTAAACATTTTTTTTGTCGCACAGTGTTATTGTTATTTATAAGTAATATTTAAGTAAATTGTACAGATTTCATGAATTTTTTAATAAAAATACTAATAATATGATTTTGTCTTTTAATAATCTTTTTTTTGCTTTAAAATAATAAAATGGCATATAACTGAAAATACAATTTCATTTTCGCAAACTGTGAGAAATTACGCAAATTTGTATACCTCTGGTGATAGGGTACTTCAAAGAATAAATTTTTTCATATACGGACGGGACAACGTCAGTTAGAACAGACGTATTTCGATTCAGATCGTGACGCTGATCAAGAATATATATACTTTATAGGGAATGAGGTGTCACCTTCACTGTGTTGCAAACTTCTGACTGAAATTATAACACCCTTTGATCTGCAAGGGTATAAAAAAAATTTCAAAGCGATACAAAAATAAAAAGCAAAGGGCAAAAAAATATGAGTTTTTCATTTTTAATGCCTAGTTATGTGTTCAAAATATTAGTATTTAAATAGTGTGTTATAGTCCGAACAAAGTACTCTCAAAAGCTCATAAAAATTAAAATTAGATTTACAATGATTTAAAACAAAAGGAACATCATTTCTAGTTAATCTACTTGGCACCGAGAAATTAATACTACTTTAGTAAGAACTGTCAATTAATACAACATAAAGCATCGTTCTGCGGTTAGAAAGGGAGGGCCAGTTGATAAGGAGCTTTCTTCTATTGGAACAAGAATGTAGGAATTGATTCGTATTCCTTTTTAGTAAGGCAAAAAGGAAAAAAATTTTAGACAAATTCTGTTCGATCAGCGTGCACTCCTCATCTTGGACTCCAAACAGAAGGCCCATACTCAAGGATTGGCCGGACCAAAGATAAAAATAAATTCTTGGTAACGTAAGGATCATCTAATTTGTTTAGCTTTATTTATAAACTTACTACATTTTTAGTTTTTTAAGTTAAAACTTGTATTAAACTAATTAAATTTCTTATTAAAAAACCCAATGACTCAATTTCAAACGTTTTTCTGCGAACCAACAAGTAACCATTGATAAAACTTAAAATGTCAGTCAGAATCATTATTAGCCTTTTTCCTTTTTTTAGCCGCTTGTGTCTTAATTTTTGACCAATCTTCCTAAAAAAAATGAACATTTTTTAATAGAAAAAATAAAATGAAAATTTTACCAACCTCACTAGAATTTTCATCTGAGGAGAATATAGTTTTGGAAATTTCCGAGTTTTTTTTGTTTGATGAGTTATGAATAAGGGTTTCCTTTTTACTGACTGGTTGCTTACGCCCACGGCCACTTCCTCCGCGTCGGCCAACAGCTGTAGTATCGTCTTCTGCGGCCAGTGCAAAAAGATCGCTGAACTGCTTCTGCATATACAATTCAAGCCTCAAATTAAAAGAAACTTTTATCAAATATTTACCTACCTTCGTGCTTTCGTTACTATGAGAGTAAGCTGTTTGCAATGCGCGCTGCATCATATCATGAACATAAAGCCCTGTACCGGTTCCATGTCTACAACTTCTTCTATAATGCTCTAGATGGTTTAAAATCTATTAAATAAACATCAATCCGTTTATAACGTTTTGCTTGAATTAATAAAACAAAAAAAAAACACACTTGATCAGCAGAGGGAGTTGTACTGGCAATGGGATTCCCCTTAGAAGGACGTTTTCGTTTGTTAGGAGATGAACCCGGATATTTTGATGTCAGCAGAGACGCAATGATTTCAGACAGCTTTTCTTCGTACCGTTGGCACCAAAATCTGTAAGTTTTTTAAAATAGTTTTGGTTTGGTTTTAAAAATTCTTTTTTTTGCATTTTTTTTATTGTTTTTTCAAAAGCCAATGTGTCGAGCACATTGTGTAAAAATGTTGAGTCAATTAGAGCCAAACTAACGGAGTGAGAGCGTTTTAAACGACCGAATTTTGACGTATACAAATACTTAAACTCGATTTTCTCGAAAAAAAATGCCATCTCACCACCATCGAATGTTTTTTATTGACACAGCTCTAGAATTTAATATTCTCTTAAAAAACTTTTGTTGAGGTTTTAGAAATTTTATCAAGTCTTTTGATGACAGCTCCTCGACAGAAGTTATAACCATTCCTATTCTTCAGGGGATTTATATTTTTTTTTCTCGGCAGCAGGAAAAACACTGTCTCCAATTCTCAGTAAAGTTTGTGCAAAAATTCCATGTTTTTGGTAAAAGACAATTTTTTTAAAGAAGGCTTAATAAAGGATGGTTTCAAACAGTACTTTATTTTATCTGTCGTGTTTCTCGTGGAACAATAGGAAGTGTTTGTCGAATATCACAAGAAAATAAAAACGGGATTTAATTGGCGATTAGCTGCTTCCTTTAGTAAGCCCAATTCCAAAGGCTTACCTCAATAACAATGTCTGTCTTTTCCAATCTGTATGGGCTGCGTTTTACCGGCTAAATGACTATTTTGAACTTTTTTGTACCATAAACATTGTTTTTAAGTCCAGCAGGTAGAGCTGGACTACGAGTCGGAAGGCCGGGGTTCGAATCCCAGGCTCCCCGAGACAAAGAAATGGTCTCTTTTTCCGAAGCTCCATTATTTCTATGCTCTACCGCTCACTTAACATTAGTAACAAATTTCGGCTCCCCGGATCCGCACACCCCCCGTCCACTATGGACACAACAATAGAACTTTCGTGTTTACTACTTAGTATACACACTCAAACAACATCAAGATCACTAGTAGAAAGCACGTTTCTATATTCATTCTCGCCGCCGCAAGATGGCACTTCAGTAGAAAAAAGCTCCCCAGGCCCCACGGGTCTATTCTTCGCATCCCCCCGCCAGATGGCGCTGTGATGCAAACTTGCGCCAAATCGGCAGCTCAAAGTGTGTAACCCCCCACGCCTCTCCTAGAAGGCGATAGGTGGCAGCCCCACCACTAGGATAGGTCGCTTCTGGCTAATCACCAGCTCGACTGAAATCAATCCGATTACAAAATCCAACACAAGATTACCAAACACAAACGGACCCCCTTCGATGACGACTATAGGCGTATCTAAAAGGACAAGAATAGGACAATGGAACGTTAGAACTCTAAGAGAGCCGTCTAGATTAGCACAATTTGAAGGAGAAATGGACAGACTTCAGGTCACAATAGCGGGGATCAGTGAGATGAGATGGAGCGGTAGTGGAGTAACAACATCAGCAAATGGTAACCTAATCTTGCACAGCGGTAATAATGAGGGACGCAGATATGGAGTAGGGATATTCGTAGCCAGAAGAATGAAAGAAACGCTACACTCCTGGACACCCATTTCAGACAGACTCATTAAAGCGACGTTTAGATGTAGGGCCAGACCAATAACAATCGTGCAGTGTTACGCCCCAACCGAAGACGCAAACGACGACATCAAAGACGACTTCTATGCCGCGCTTACTTCCACTCTCACTGACAAACCTCGAGGCAACATCACTGTTCTCATGGGCGACTTCAATGCAAAAATAGGACCCAACTTTACCAGAATGAGGTCAGCCACTGGGGGCCACGGTATAGGCACGCGTAATAACAATGGAGATAGACTAATAGAAGTATGCCAAATGTTTTCAGTTAATCATTGGGGATAGTATGTTCCCACACAGAGATATCCACAAATACACGTGGACATCTCCGAGTGGAAATACACGTAACCAAATTGACCACATTTGTATAAGCAGAAAATGGAGGAAGGTTCTACTGGTTATAAGGAACAAGAGGGGAGCATCGATAGACAGCGACCACGAGCTGATCATTGGGGAGCTCTCAATCAAGCTGGACCGCAATCGCCCGCGAAATGCTGACGACTCAAGGAACCACCGCCCGTCCCCCCTCAACATACACCTACTTGGCGAAACGGACATCAGCGCCAGACTTGCATCAACATTACGCACCCACCTACTACCGCAGCAAGGCCAGACATGGGAACAAATGTGCGATACACTAAGGACCACCGCAGAAGGCATCATTGGCACCCAACAACGAAGAAAAAACAACTGGATCTCTAGCGCAACGTGGGACACGATCAACAAAAGGAACTCACTGAAATTACTGGCTGATCGTGACAGCAATAGACCCGACGAACACTGCGCACTATGCAAAGCTGTCAAGAGAGCAGCCAGAAATGATAAGAGAGCCCTACTGGATAGACTGGCAGATAACGCAGAACGCGCAGCAAATGAAAACAACATGCGATCACTATACCAGACAATTGAACAAACTTCAGGAGGCTATAGAAGGAAGACCCAGCCAGTCAAAGATGCCATCGGATACTTCTCACTAGCGACGACGACCAAATCCACAGGTGGCGCCAACACTTCATGGAAATCAGCAACTCCGACATGCCTAGCAGGAGCGATGACTACAGAAACATTGCGCCAGCAAATGGGAACCGGAGAATATCATCCGCCCCACCCTCCGTGAGAGAAATCGGAAATGCAATAAAGAAGCTAAAGAACAACAAAGCTGCCGGGATGGACGGCATTCCAGCCGAAATCCTCCAAGAAATATTGCATCCGCACTTCTCGAGTGCATGGGAGAGCGAACACATTCCCGACTCCTGGAAATGCGGAGTCATAGTGAAAATACCCAAGAAAGGAGACCTTAGTGATTGCAACAACTGGAGAGGGATCACACTACTAAACACCAGTTACAAAGTCCTAGCCACAATTCTGAATGAACGCCTGACGGAAAAATTCGAGCCCACACTAAGAGATGAACAGGCAGGCTTCAGACCACACAGGAGCTGCGTAGACCAAGCCAACACCCTACGCATCATAACCGAACAAGCTGTGGAATGGAGAGCACCACTGTACCTCCTGTTCATCGATTTCAAGAAGGCGTTCGATTCAATAAATAGAGCAGCAATATGGGGAGCGCTTGCTAGGAAAGAAGTACCGCACAAAGTCATCGCCCTAATAAAGGCGCTATACGATGACGCCAACCTGGCGGTACTGCACAACGGGAAGACAAGTGCACCTTTCCAAACAAACACCGGGGTCAAGCAAGGATGCCCACTATCCCCACTGCTCTTCAACATTGTGGTGGACGAGGTCATGAGAGAAGTGTGCAAACACAAGCGTGGAATAACATGGAGCTTCACCAGACACCTAGAAGACTTGGACTACGCAGACGACATTTGCCTAATCTCTCACAAACTAAGCGATACTCAATCCAAAGTTGATGACCTCGTGAACCTAGCCAGCCGTGTGGGTCTACAAATTAACACGGCGAAGACAAAAGCGATGCGCCTCAATCACGCCAGCCAAGAAAATATCATCGTAGATGGAAACCCAATAGAATACGTCGAGAGTTTCCCATACCTTGGCACCGTAATCTCCAGCAACGGTGGCGTGACAGAAGATGTGACGAGCAGGCTAGCCAAAGCCAGGTCTGCCTTCGGGAGACTCTACCGCATATAGAGAAGCCGCCAAATAAGAAGAAAAACAAAGATACGGATCTTCAACTCATGCGTAAAATCCGTCCTACTATACGGAACAAAGACAATAATCCAGCAATTGCAGGCTTTCACCAACAAGTGTCTCAGACATAGACCTCTGGAAAATGAAGGGTGAAACAGCAATAACACTCCAAATCAGGAAGAAAAAATGGAGATGGATAGGCCACGCACTGCGAAAGGACCAGGATAGCATAGTTAGAATGGCGCTAGAGTGGAACCCACAGGGAAGCAGGCGTGTAGGCAGGCCTAAAGCAACATGGAGACGAACCGCCCTTCAAGAGTTGTCCCAATACAGCACCACATGGGACACAGCGAAACAGACAGCTCGAAATAGAGTAAGATGGAGGAATCTAGTCGAGGCCCTATGCTCCCAGGAGGAGTTATAAAGGAAAAAAAAAATGTATAGACTACTCTTAAGGGGTTATCCTACCCTGGAGGCCCAAAAAAGGCCTATTTTCGTGAATTTTTTTCAAAGCTCCTGGGATGTTCTTACAATTTTTGTTTATTGAATATGAATATATAATGCTTCAACTATAATCTGTAAAATTTTGAAAAGAAAATATTAAAAAATGAGCGAGTGAGAATGCCTGAAAGTTGACCCCATCAAAAATAGTGCCCTGGCGGTAGTCAAATTTTCTCCGCCAATTTTCATCTGAAATCGAAAATTCAAAATTTTTCTTTAAGTGTACGTGTCTGACTCGTGTTTGAACGAAGGATTTTTTTTAAAATTAAAAATTGAATTTTTTACAACGTTTTTTATAAAAATTACGTTTTTTGCATACATTTTGACCATATTTCGTCCTATAAAATAAGTTCTATTTGACCAAAAAAAAATCCTTCGTTCAAATACGAGAAAAACATGTCTAAAAGAAGTGTGCAAAAGGAGAAGTCGATCGGTGTAACAGTTTTCGAGAAAATTTGACTACCGACTTTGAAAAAGTCGTTTCGAGAAAAACGCGTTCAAAGTTTCAAACCCTTTGAAACACTCTGGAAAACGGCGCTTTAAATTTCCCCCATTCCTACAGTTTTCCTCCGATCGACTTGAAATTTTCGGACAACATTCCTTACACTTTTTACTATTATATAAAAATTTTTGAAAAAAATGAATTTTTTAAAAGGTCAGGGGTAGGATAACCCCTTAAGGGGGCTTCTCATGTAAAATTTAAAAAAAAATCGATTTTTTTGTTTTTTTATAAATCGATAGAATAACGTCTTGAGAGTATATTCCCGAAGTTTTATGACTCAACTCTCAATATGGAAAATATGAGTGATTGAACGAGCGCGCTCA